GGTTGAAAAGATTTATGCAAATTTAGAAATTAGAGATGATGAAACTCCTAGTGTTGAAGATTGTAAAAGTAGCATATATATAAAAGCTAGAGAGTTATATAATACATATAAATCTATGGAAAAAAATATTCCAATAGTTGAACCTCCATCTTGTAAACCTAGAAGCGATGATACGGATGATTGGATGGATGATTATCTTGAGCTTGAATCATCTACTAATAATGATTTTGATTTATATTTCAATCAGGCACGAGAAAAAAATTAGGCATGAAGAAGGACAACTTCAAGCTCCAATATTAGTATGGTGGAAGAATCGTGAAAATCAATTTCCGACCCTTGCTAGGATTGTTCGAGATGTGCTAGCGATTCAAGCATCATCGGTCGCTTCGGAGCAAGCCTTTAGTGCGGCGAGATTTATGATTGGAGATCATCGATATTCATTAGCAAAAGATAGTTTGGAAATATTGGTGTTGTTTCGAGATTGGGTCAATGCCGAAAGAAGAAATACCGGACTACCACAATTAAATAGCCAAATAGAAGACAAAATAGATGAAATATTTGGTGATAATAGTGATGATGGTATGGAAGCAATGGAAGAAGAACGACAAATACAAGTTCCAAAAAATGTTTCTTTCGAAATGATACAAAAGTTACGAAAAGATTTTAAAAAGAGTTTCAATTGTTAGTACAATAATTAATATTCAATACCTAGATTATGTACTCTTTGTCTCTTTCTAATATTTGTATTGTACAATTTATTTATTTGAATAAATATACGGCTATTCGCCTTGATTTTCTTTTAAAATAGTCTCTTATATTTAATCCAAGTCATTTTAGAAATTTAATTTTCAACTATTTTAATATTAGTTTAAAGTTTAAACTTTAATATAAAATTGAATTTTAAGATTTAAACTTTAAATTCAATATAAACTTTAAACTTTAAACTTTAAAGTCAATTTTAAACTTTAAATTCAATATAAAGTTATAAACTTTAAAATTTAAATTTTAAAGTCAATTTTAAACTTTAAGTTTAAAGTTTAAACTTAAATTCAATTGAAACTTTAAAGTAACTTTAAAGTTTAAAGTTTTAAATTGAAGTTTTTTAATAATATAATTTTATTAATTAATAATATAATATTATATAATAATTAAAGTTAATAAAAAAATAAAAAAAAATTACCGGTACAAAATGATCCGGTAAGAACCGGTTCCGGTCCGGTCCAAACCGGTTCCAATCCGGTAACTAAGGGACCGGACGGAACCGTTGGAAATTTCCGGTAAAACCGGTTCCGGTAAGACCCGGTTCTGGTAACGAAATCCGGTAACGAGGACCGGTTCCGGTAAAACCGGTCCTGTTGACCCGATCCTGTCCGTTTGCCAGCCTTAGTCCTACCCGCAAATTATACTTAAAGCATCCTTGGAATACTATTTATGCAGATAGAAGAGGATTCATACCTATATATCAAAAAAAAGTAGCCCCTGCCCTTTTTATTCTCCAAGAACAATACTTTTTCCTTCAAGAAAACATTTAACTAAGTATATCTATAGGTCTATGGAGAGGAAGACACTCGATTCTTGAAGAAACCAACTTAAGCTTTGGTGGATTGAAGATGAGAAAAACTTGAAGAAATAAGTTGAAACCAGTCCTTACACGTTCTTGAGTATATGAGAAAGTATATCCCAAACTTCTAATATAAAAACAACAAGTTTGGCCGACTTTCTCTAAAGTGCCACATGTCCCGCAGAGATTGGGCAGTGCGCGCGTTTGTCGTAGAATGAACATAACTTTTTACTCTTATATCGTTTTAACGAGCGGTTTGTTTTGTTGGAAACTAGACTCAAATACCTTCAATTGGATAGGTAGTAGGCTCTCTAACTCGTTATATATTAGGAGATATGCTCGTTTAAAGTCAGATGAGAAATGAGATCATTTGTAGTATTCCTCCACAATGAACCTTTAAGCTTTAATCTTTTCTTTAATGATCTCTTTGACCTAAAACTTTTGTTTAACCCTTCAAATGACTAAATATAAGGGTTACATGGTATGCTTAACCATTTGCAATGATATACCTCCCCCGATATCACATCTATGCATTGGTGTTTACGAGTCGCAAATGTATTTTAAGTTATGGAGTATTACAAATAAGATCTGTATTTGTATTTGTATATACACTTTTCTCTGGCTAATTGTATACCAAAAATGACTAATTGTATATCGAATTAGATGACAAAAAAATGGGATGTTTGCTGCGAATTACAATTAAAATAAACTATGACTATAACATTTAATTTGAATTAATAGTTTGTTATTTCATACAATTTTTCCTTTTTTTTTATTAAATAAATTATTTTGTAATTTCAAGTTCCAATATTAACCACATTTCAATTATAAAATTGAAAACTGGATATTTGTTAAGTTTCATATTAGGCCCAAAACCTGAATAATAGGCCCGCCCAGTGGTGTGAATCTAATTGACGACCCAAACTACAAACGAAGCCCATATTGCCATAGGCCCATTATGGATTGTTCCCCCAAAACCCTAGCAAAATTCGACCCAGCCCAAACAGTACACCAAACCCTAGCTGCGTCAAACACACATCCCCACCCCAACCCCACCTTTATATATACATCTCATCTCTGCTAGATTCATCATCGGCTTCTTCTGGTTATCGGTAATGTATGGATCTTCTTCTTCCTATTAGCTAAGATTCATTCTGGATTCACTTCCTTTGAATTTTTCAGTTTGTTTTTCTTTTTTTCTGTATTCTATTCTTATTATGTGTGTGATGAGGAAGCAATTTTGTGGACTAGAGTTTCTGATCTGGGGATTAGACCCCCCATTTGGTTGAAGACAAACCCTTGGCTGTCTGAGCACACCTTTTTCTTCTGCATCTTCCTATTTTCCCTTTAAATTTTTATTTTTTGAATGATTTTCTCATGCTTTTGCTGAAATTTCAACGAGTTGAAGTTATTTTTGAAAACACCTGTATTTGGCTTATGATGATAAATTTAATTATCTTAGCGGATTTCAGTGAGATTTGATTATCAATGATCTGAATGTTACACACACTGAAGCCTTCAGAAAACAATTAGTTTGCTCAAAAAATGATTTTGTGATTTTTTTCTTAATTTATTGTTTGATAGAAAAGTATGCTGTGATGAGATTAAGCACCATAGGGTGTATAGGGCAGTGGAAGAAGGTTTAAAAGCCTTCTCCGTGAGCTTATTAATTAACGACTTCTCCTTCCACTGAGCATCAATTCTTCTATCTATTTTTCTCTAATTGGATTGCTTTGGTTAAGTAATGCGTCTATTTACCAATTCTGGGGGATTTTCAGTTCCTCTCGGTGTAATGGCTCAGACGCAATATTGCAAGTGGTTATATCCTGATTGATGGACTTGTATATCTGTGCCATATTATCCTGGAAACGCCACTTAAATTTTTTGTTTTAATCAATTTAATTTGTATATGTTTGGGTCACGATCGCTAATGTTAAGATTAATCAGCATAATCTATCATTCTGTTGAATGCAATTTTCTTTTAAAAAGTGTGATGAGGAAGCAAATTTGTGGACTAGAGTTTCTGATCTGGGGATTTAGACCCCCATTGGTTGAAGACAAACCCTTGGCTGTCTGAGCACACGTTTGTATCTTTACATTCAAATTTGTAGTGTTTTGAATTATTTTTGTTATAATTTCAATGATTTTGAAAAAACTTGTCAGTTATATTGTGTTATGATAGTTGAAATATATACTATGGCTTATGATGATAATTCTAATTATCTTAGCGGATTTCAGTGAGATTTAATTATCAATGATCTGATTTTGTTACACACACTGAGGCCCTTCAATTTTTTTTACATAAAATTCATTAGCAAACATGTTTGGATTTTGTTTAATTGGAACAAGATTATAATATAATAATAATGCGTCTATTACCAATTCTGGGGGATAGTTAGTTCCTCTTGGCATAATGGCTCAGACGCAATATTGTGAGTGGTTATATCCTGATTGATGGACTTGTTATACTAGTGCCATATTATCCTGGAAACGCCACTTATATTTCTTCAATCAAGTTTTTGATGAACATATAACGCAATATATTTATTCCTTCTGATACAAATAATGGAGCTATAGAAAATGACGAATTTGAATTTGAAATCATATTATTTTTAACAAAGAACAATATGGACATTACCACTTGGGTGGATTCTTGGTACTAAATTACCAATATCAAGAGCTTAACTTCACAAGTGAACCTTTTTTATGGCATGTTGACAACAACTGAAAAGTAATAGAAATATGTACTCTTATGATAATGTAGGCTTAAGCAGCTATGCCAGGATTTTGTGATTTCAAAATTTAAAAATTGAACAGTTAAATAAGCTTAAGTGATTTCAACTAAACTTAGTGCAAAGCATCTACTACTCCCAGAACAATATATTTCACATTTTTGATGATTTGCCTCGACATGTCAGAGTACAACTACATGTGGATAATATGGGATTTCATTCTCAAAGTTAGGAATGCTTGTAAAATGCTAACAGATAAGGAACGCTTGTAATTGTTAGCAGCTCCCTCTGTGTACACCTTTTTTTTTTGTTTTAGAAGGATGAATAAAAAGCGCCAAAACATTATATACTATAACAAAATACTGGTACCGGAAAACTGTCATTATAGCTATTTGTCGGTAAGCTTGCAACCGTGCAAAATCTCAAATCTGTGATATGGATGAGTAACTGGAAACTACAAGGGAAACCTGGTATTGAAGATGTTGGCTGAGAGTTAAGCCTTCCTCACCTCCTTCACTTTGATCATGATCACCAGTCACATATGATCCCTCAAAGCAAAGTTGTTCCTCCCACCTTCAAACATTTGAATCCTTTTTTGAGCATCCGAGAAAAGTCGGAGTGAGATAAAAACAGTTGGGGCAAATTTTTGTACTATCTATATTCAAGTCACTGTTCAAGCATTTAAAGAATCTTTCAATCTGGCTTACCATCCTCTCCCCGGGGAATTTTGCAAAAGCAATGATTCCCCATTTCCGACAGCAGTAGGACAGATCAGAGTTGAATGCATGACCTCAGCATCTAAACGTAACAAACTTGTATGACTTCTCTAAAATACATGAAAGAAAAGACATTTGAATCGGAGCCAATGATGTTATTTCTTAATTGAAGTATAAATGCCAGATATTATTGCCACCCCTGTGACTGCAACTCCGAGTGTTGACAAGATTCTTGTGACAGAGATGGCAGGTTTCTGTGAAGGAATTGTGAGTAGTTCATTAACCTGTGGCAGCGGATTATAAACAAAAAATCATCAATAAATAGGTAAGAGGTTCAAATTCAACATGTGAGACTAAATATGCAGATAGGTACTGCTCCAAATGCTTTGCAATGTACAGGAGAAAGCATTAGTTCTATCTACATTTGCAACAACTTTTATTCACCTCAATGGGTTGTTTCCAGTTCTTCTTGATTCCTGGAAGGTGACCCTTCCCAACGACTGCTGCAACAGAGTTGTGTTCACCGGCAACTCTTAGTAATGTTGATGACATGAACCTGTACAAGGACAGATTGAGGCAGATTTCTAACATTTGTAATCCAGTATTTAGAATATCATCAAAAGTTAAAATAAGTGTCAGGTTCATTGCCATCCTTCTAAGATTCTGACTTAAATGCCAGGAAGACCAAAATTACCATAAATCTCCTGTATTTGACTAGGGAAATAGTACCATTTGAAGCAAATGAACAGTAGACTGAGAGCTTATTTGCAATTACAAAAGCTCACAGTTAAATACTAGTAAATTGATGCGATGAAAAACTGATATTAGCGGAAGGCGCAACAAACACATCATGACATATTTCATTTAATACTGGACCGTCTCACCCCAGAACCTACTCCTTGATAGTGGTGCATGGAATCCATCATTATGTGATAAAAATTTGATACAAGAAGTCTGTCTTTTCCACTTGGCAAATTATTGACTTGACACTGTTTACACTTAACAACCACATAGGAAGGATTTCCTATTTTTATTGAATCAGCGTGTAGTTAGTTCAATTGACTAACTTAGCATACTTTCTCACGCTAATTTCTACTCTACCTTCCCGGGGTGTTTCTTGCCCCCAAAATGGAAATTCTTCCTAAGCCTGAGGAAGTACTATAAAATGCTTGTGAACAAATGATATGATATGGAATAACTGACAATTATACCTACACATTGAGATCAAGAACTGCTTGAGAAAGTTCTCCTCATCAAATTTTTTTTAAAAGCACCACTGCAAAATATGGAGCATACTCTGATACCTGTTGCACTTGTTGAGTACCAAATATTAAGGTATCCTTTTACTCCTATTCACACTTCCTTTTCCCATCGACCTTTGCAGAGCGACTAACGCCAATATATGTGAAGCTACTTTTCCCAAAAGCCTATAGTAAAATCTATCCTCATACGATACATTATTAAACCAAAATAGGCCACCTCTAAACAAAATGCAGGTTCTATTAGTGCCGAACTACACGTAGAAAGCCAGATAGCTAGACACAACATACTTTTCGAGTATGTGGAGTCATTAATCAGATTATTTCTGAGTTCTATTTTGAAGGGCTTACATCCAACAAGCTCTCTAAATCTGATATAACACTCTTCAGGAATTAATGACAAGTGTCTGGTTTTAGATATAAGCCAGTTAAATAAACCAAGTATTGCATGAAACTAAGGCAGGCAGCATAACAAATTTTGACCGTACAGACAAAAGGAGATGGAGTGGGGAAGAGAGGTAGGGCCAGAAGAGAATTTTAATCACAAGCACAGTGGGATCACTGGGATGTATGTAAGTTAATAGGCACTTACAGATCTCGCTCATGAACTAGGGTAGTCCAAAGAGTGGGGAAGCGCTTGCTCATTTCCTGAATTACAAGAGTCAACATATCGACATCATCCATTTCCTTCAGCTGCTCAACAGCAGAAGTTCAATACCATGTAAGTAACATCCGATATTTTTCACAAATACAATATGCAGAGATGGGCAACCCCAAAGAGTATTATCCAAGGATCCCTACCATCTTGTTGAGATCTTCCGTCTTTGGTAAAAATAATGCTTGGAATAACAAGGAGGACAAGAATTTTGTTTTGTGCCAAAGCGGCATTGTGGCCCATGTTCTTCGCAATGTTATCTGTTCAAAAGATTGGTAACATTTGAAAGGTTAACAACAACATTCCCAGTGAAATCCCACAAGTGGGGTTTGAAAGATACATGTCAAAGGCATGAATAAATATTTTTAACAAAATGTTTATTTGCTTAAATTCCTTATAATTATGTATATACAAACGTTTTCTTGTAATTGTAATTTTTCCTTCTAGTAATTATAATTTAGTACACTTAGTACGAATATACATCGTGTTTCTAAAACTAAAAATAAAACCTAGTAAAAAGGGGAATATTATTCATGCTAATAATGGTGTAGGATTCCATAGTATAAAGGGTGCAAGCAATTGATTTTAAAATACAATGAGCATGTCTATAATCGAGTCGTATTACATGGTTGAAAAAAATATCAAAGCATGTTTTTTTTTTCTGTTTATCTTTCTTTTTGGTCAATGTTGAATATTTGATTTATTATGCGGAAGCAGTTGATAGATAAGAAATTACATCGAAAATGCTTCCAAAATATGTTTAGAATATAATTACAAAGACAAGTAATTTTACAAGTCTTGATTGAAGAAAATGTTTAGACTCCACAAATGGTAAGTATGGTAAAGAAACAATATATAAGAAACAATAACGAACATATCTTGCAGTCTTTGGAAAAGCCAAATTATTGAGTTGGATAGCACGCATTATAAAACTTAACATAAACTAGAATTTGGGACACAAATGATTTGTTGGAGAAAGCAGTTAGGAGAGATCCTGGTAGTAATTAAGGTGTTGGGGATTTATTCATGGAAGAGATTATGCACCTTTTGCAGTTAATCAGTCTAGTACAAAAACAAAATATTATATGAAACTAATTTAATTGTTTTCCAATTGAATTATCCACGGCAAGAGACCAGGTGACATAATGGAGCAATTCAGACTTTATTTTAGTTCTGATATTCACTAAAAAAAAAAATTAAAACATCATTTTTATCATGATCACTATGTATATGTTATAAGTTTTGATATAAAATCATTCATCCATCAGAGAATGCTATACATAGAACAAACCAGAAATTTAACTCAACAACAACAACCCAGTGAAATCCCACTAGGTGGGGTCTGGGGAGGGTAAATAGTACGCAGAAACCAGAAACTCAACATCTTAAAATGATTGAATTATCCAAAGCATCTTACTTGCACAGGACGGTCACCAAGTATCACCTTTCCCCCATACTTCATTGCTTCTTCATAGGCCACACGAAACTCACCCCCAGGTACAACCTCAAGCTGGTTAGCAACCTAAAACATGAAGGAAATCCAACTAACAATCCATATGCCACCAAAAAGGGGAACCAAGAGACAGGGGAACAAGAGATGAAAGGCACTATTAGTTTAGGAAGTAAAGTAGAATTTCAAAACTATGTATAATACATGTAGAGGCTAATGATACCTTAGCAATTAACCAGCTATAGAGTATCTCAAATGGATTTTGATTTTTCTTCCACATATTCATCATATCCCCCATAGTTGGTACCTGGCACAATTAGGATGGGAACATTAGAAGTTAAATCTAAAGAGGTGAAAGATGAAGACCAGCAATATCATCTCAGACTGCACAGTGATTTGGGGAAACAAGGTTAAATTAGGAGGTATGGATGATCTCATTGTATCCTTGATGCCTAAAGGTATGGCAGCAGCACCCATCCTATCTATTCTCCTGATCCTATATAAGGGACTATCTGATTTAAAGGGAATTCATATTTTGCAATCCCAGGAAAAGAGTCGCACCACATAAGAATTTGAAAAAAAAAAAGCTGTCCTCTACTTCAGTCCCCAGACGATAAAATTCCTTTCAATGTCTACTGGCATTTACACAAATCATTTTTAGCTTTATTAAATCATAGTATATTCTACCGACAGGACCTCTTAGTTCTTCTATGCAGTATTTCTATCACTTTATTTACCGAAACCATGGAAATTGATCCTTTATATGAGTCGGTCCCATCCATAAATCTTTGCGCATTCCCAACAATAAAATGAGTTTTACAAGAGAGCTCACCCTAAAGTTTTCTATTTTACCACATATCAATTATGTTTCCATACACCTGTCCTATAGGAACATGACACTGAGTTTAAAAAAATATTAAGATCCTATTTCGCATGTACCACTCTTCTCCATAACATTCTTCCTTCGTATATCTCCATCATCACTACCACTAGAACAGAAGAACTTGTTGTTGGCTTTTATATTACTGATCCAAGTTCCCCTTTATTCTTATCGTGGGGTATAACCAACTTAGTCCAAAAATAAATAGGACATATTGAGCTTGAGTTACGTCACTTCTTTAACTCTTAAACTGTATAAGAGTATCTTTATTATTTTGATAAATCAAGTTCATCAACTTAATAAAACACCAAAATTGCATCAAAGGTACTACATATAATCTTGTGACAAATATACTAGGTCATTTTTTCCCATCTGTGTGAGCATTGGTGGGCAGAGTTACCCAGTACCTATGTAGGTGGGAGGTAGTGGGCACCAGGTGGAATAGTCGAGGTGTGTGAACCTTGGCCCAAACACCACTGTTATATATCAAAATGTATTTGCATACAACTGATTGTTTCAACCATAATTATCAAATCAATACACAACAGCATCCTCTCTTTACACCCGAAAAAAAATACATGCAACAAATAATCTGTGAAAAATACATAAATAGTTTTCTCCTTGCTACTTTCAGGCAACCCCAAGCTGGTTGTCTTGTCATCATTCTCAGCATCACCCAAGCCATAACAAACAAAGGTGGTGCAAGACTCCAGACTGTGTTGTATACTTGCAATGAAATAACAAACACTGAGTATCCTCCCTGTTTGGCTGTTCCTATAAAAACAACACCAACTGACCATAGCTCTCCTCCTCTTTCTTAAACTATCATCATTAATATTGCACTATGGGCACCAAGTAAAGAAAGCTATTCTTTTCGGTGCTTTATTATTCCATACTTTCTTCAAAACCTCCCTCCTATCCTCAGTACCTATTAGGAGTAACTCCTTAAACTACAAACTTACCATAAATGACTTTTCCCCTCTTCCCCTCCATGCCATCCTATTTTTGACTTCCATCATTTATAGGCCACTTGTACAATGTGTGATGAAATTCCTCATCACCTCCCATTCCCAGTATTTGAAGCGTCACCAGCAGTGGCGGACCTAGGATTTTCGTTCAGGGGGTTCGAAAAATAAAAGTATAAACGTGTATATATAAGCCAACAAAACAAAATCTCAAGAAAGTCGTAGTATTTAGTTTTAGTGGCGGACCCTTGAATTTTTTTGGGTTTAAAACCACACTTTTAGCATGTTTTATAAAATAAAAAACTAAAAAAAACGTCAAAAACGGAACTGAAACCTTAAAAAAAAAAAAAAAAACTGAAACTGAAAAAGAAAAAAATTAAACGCTAATGCAGGGATTCGAACCCTCGACGTAAGGCTTAATTTTCAGGGAAAATGCCACTGGGCTATCTCTTTCTCCTTGTCATTGAGGGGGTTCAAAATATATATATCCACATAAATACAGAAAATTACCTTATATATACAGTGTAATTTTTTGCCGAGGGGGTTCGGGTGAACCCCCTGGAACCAACGTGGGTCCGCCCCTGGTCACCAGACAATGCTTTGACTCAAATAAGAGGTTTAACTAGAAATTCTATGGTACACAGAAAGGTTTAACCGAGAAGAACTCAGTTTTCCTATTTTTGAATTTTGGACGTTGATTAACTTTCTAACAGATTTTTTCTTTTCATCTAAAAATAAAAAGGATTCCCAATTATGACTAAACAGTAGTTCTTGAAGCACCAGAGCACAATAAAGATAGACAACCAAAGCACGTTCCTTGCAATGAGAAAGCAAAAAATTGGACTGAATGATAGAGAGAAGACAAAAAGTACCCAAAGCACATTACCAGTCTGTATTAAACTGAAAACTAGTAAAATTTCGAGAAGAAAAACAAATAACATAGAAAACTTCTCTATATGGTACAAGAAAACTGAGAATATAGAAATTCTATGTTTTGCTCTGTCCAAGAGCAACTCTTTCATAAAGTTATCTGGAGAAGGATAAAGATATATGTCAGAGATGAAAGTCCAACCTTTGAATTATGAGGTATAAGTACAGCCACACGACCTGAGCATATCTCCAAGAAAACAACCTATCATCAATAATCCAGAATCAACAAAAAACTCAAGCATGGAACTTGGTAGCGTAAGAGAGGAGGTAATAGGTAGATAAAGCAGTCTACTACCAATAAATACAAAATCAGAAGAAGTACCTGGGGTTTCAAGAAATTGATCACCGCTTGGACTTCTTGGCAGGATTCCTGGGATCATGCATGGAAAACTTAAAATGATTATACAACCCTCTATATAACTCATTCTGTTCTTTTAAGTTTTCTTTTTCCTAAGTGAAGATAACTCATTATGTTCTATAAAAACTCTTCCTTTAATATGATTTGATTGATAAAACAAAATTGCCTTAAATTGTCACGACTCACGATAATAGGATGCAAGCTAATAATTGATTTATATTAATTTCATTTCTAACTTCTGGGAATTTGCACAAAAAAGAAGAAGTCAAATTCACAGAAATATTCCAAGCCTCAATATAGTTTTCTCTTACAATTCTATATCCATCATACATAAAACATACAGAAGAAAAACTCGAGAATTTACCGCAGAAACGTGAGCTGTCCCAACAACATATACATCGCAAATACCTCCCTCAGCAGAAGATTCACAGGTGAGTGTAATTACATTCCTCGAAATTTCCTCCGGTAAAACCTTCCTTTCGTACGATTGACTCTGATTTTCTTCATTCACCTCATCAGGCTCTCGCTCTTCCACTACACTCTCATTAGAACCTTCTGAATTAGAACTAGCACCTCCACCGTGAACCCGAACAAATTCCTCGAATCCGGGCGCCTCATGCCGATCCCAATCCATTTCCGCCGGCGTTAAGCGGTCGGGTACGGCGGAGAAACTTTTGAGGTTTGAGGTAATTGAGAATGAATCGTGGCGGAGGTTTACGACGGAGAATGGGACGGCGAGAAATTTCGCGGTTGAAAAGCGAAGGCGGGAATCGCCGATGGATGAGTGGAATCGTTTTGACTCGGACGAGTTGAGAAAGGTGAGTGTTCGAGTTAATCGATTCATTGAGCTTTTTTGGTTGTGCAAAAATGAAACCTGGGTCTGTTTGGATGCTAGTAAGACTCCGGTTTGTATTTAGGGAAAAGGTCCTGATTTACTCCTAAACTTTATGATTTGGGGCTAATATATCCTCCGTTTAAAAAATGGCTCATATATGCCCTTGCCATTATAGAAATGGCTCATATATGCCCTTTTACTTAACATAAATTTTTTTAATAAATTAAAAATTCATTTTTTTTACTTTAATTTAAGAAAATGTCATATGGCTTTTAAAATACCCCACTTTCCACCATACCCACCCGACCCAATTGGAAACAATAGAAACCCACCCGCTCAAATTAACTTCACCCATTTCATTTCATGGTTTCCACCTCAACAGAAACAAAAATAATTTTTTTGTTAGTATCCGATCTCATTTTGAGTGAAGATTGCTAATTTTAGGACATGAATACAGTTAAATAAATATTTCCCTTAATTGCCTCTTCTTTCGGCTATACAAGGACGAGAATGATTTCTTGATGGCTTTGTTCTGGCATACATTTATCTCCTTTTCCAATTCGAGGGTTTCTTTTTTACCAGATTGTGTTTCCTCTCTTTATCCGGGGGTGCCCTCTGCTTGGTACATTTCTCAGGCAATTTGTTCTTTCTTAGCCATTGATCTTTTTCACACTAAATGAACATGTTTGTTTAGAGATAGATTATCACTCACTTTTAGCTTAAGTTGTGGATTTACGGTATATAAGCTTACCTAGTTTCTATTTAAGATGGATCAATTTATAGACCCTAACAAAGTAATGGTTAAATGTGCAATATATAGGATGCATAACGCATCTCTTGTAATAATATTTGATGCTTGCAAACTTTGGTATGTTAAATGCTTGATAAATAACTGGGTTTATTATTTTGTGGGCACTTTAGGAACTGAGGCAGATCCAAGGAAGAAGGGCACACTGCGGCCGCTTAAGTTTCTAAAGAGGCAGTTTGACGTTTTATTTTTATTTTGCCTTCCATTTCACCGATAAATCGAAGTTTTGAATATTCGTTTCTCAAATATCACCCGAACTCTGGATTGTAGAGCTCACTGGAACCCTCACAATTTTTTTTGGTTTCATTTGAGTGTGGAAATAACGAAATGAAATGAGTTAGGTTAATTTGGGTGGGTGAGATTTTTTGTTTCCAATTGGGTCGGGTGGTATGGTGGAGTGGAAGGTGGGTATTTTAAAAGTCACATGACATTTTCTTAAATTAAAGTAAAAAAATGAATTTTTAATTTATTAAAAAAAATTCTGTTAAGTAAAAGGGCATATATGAGCCATTTCTATAACGGCAGGGGCATATATGAGCCATTTTTTAAACGGAGGGTATATCAGCTCCAAATCATAAAGTTTAGGGGTAAATCAGGACCTTTTCCCTTGTATTTATATGTCATTATTTTAGAGTATATAATCTCTTAAGAAATTAAGTAAATTTGTTTATATATCCTTATTTAATATTTTATTAAAATTAAGTTTACAATTAATGAACATGAATTAATTTACTCTGATTAACTAATTTGATCAGTGAAAATAAATTAATTACTTAATTTTTCTATATTGACAAATTTATACTTTTAAAACTAATAATTTTCAAAGGGTAAAATCAGAAGAATTGTATATTATTTAGGTGAAATGGTCTGATAGACCCTTATACTTGTATCAGTTTGTATTGTAAACCCTTCTACTTATTCCTTTTCCATCTAAACCCCTGAATTCATTGAAATACAATATTTTAAACACTATTTTTGACCTGGCATCCTATGTGGCAGCTGATATCATAGAGCGTGTGATACACGTCTATTAGGAGCGTAAGACCCATGAAAAGGGGTCTAAAAGTCATATTAGGGCTTTTATAAAACCATCATCTTCTCATTTGCATCTATCACCATTGTTGGACAAAATTTGAGGTTTTTCTGGCTTCTTTTTCGATCTTCTATCCCCATATTTTTCTTCTCTATTTTTTTTCGTCATTACACTGCTCTCTTTATCATGCATTTTCACTTACTTTTTTTCTTCAATATTGGTTGATCTTGTTGCATTCTTCTTCATCACCATGAAAATTCATTTTTATTAGAATCCTATAATCTAATCGAAATCATAAAACACACCTTTGAAGGCATAACACTACTACAAAAACATCTTACACTAATGATAGGCACAAAACAAAGTAAAATTCCAAAAAAAAATCAACAAAATCAATGTAATCCACAAAACCCCAAAATCAAACAAAGACACAAATAGAAGATGAAATCTAGGTTAAACGATAAATAAATTGAAAAACCTACATTGATAAGTTGAAAATCAAACAAAACCAACAAAAAAAACTCAAATAATTTCCCGCATTGACCTAGTTATCTACCACCCAAATGACCCCTGTTTCAGTCCTAAACAAAACCCAACCTCACTGCCTTTTTGTCCTCCGCCACACCTTCTCCAATCAGACCACTTCCGTGCTCACCATCTCAAACAAGCTTTAACCGGCAACTATAATTGAGAGCCAACAACAACAACAACAAAAAACCCCAAACCAACTCCACCAATAAACCTCAACCTTTACAACGCCGCCAGCCCTAAACTCCGACGAGAATTGTGAACAACTAGACCACCCAATAGATCCCCACTCTTCCTCAACGCCATCAGTCACCATTTAAATCGCAACCCAACAGAATCCAAAATCAACTCCGAGCTTCTAGGAGATTGTGAACAAGCAGAAATCATTTCGACATTTTTTCTTCATTGGAAAGAGTAGGAAGAGGTTGGGAAGGAAAAAATGCAAGGAAGATAAGTGAGATAAATGGAAAAAGATTGTGATTTGTGGGAATGGGAATAGCTATGACAGAGGCAAATAAAAATTGAAAAAAGAAGTACAGATACATTAATCAAATATGATAAAAGGGAAAGGATAACCTGGAGTGGCTATATATACACTTGTCATTTTATAATTATACATGTCATTTTATAATTATTTTAAATATTACGTGTCAAGCATTTGTGATACACACACAATTGAGTAGGAAAAAATGGGTTCAAAATGTTGTGTTTCGATGGATTCAGGGGTTTAGATGGCAAAAGGATAAGTAGAAGAGTTTACAATACAAACGCATACAAGTACAAGGGTCCGCCACACCATTTTGCCTATTATTTATGCATTGATTTTGTAAAATGAGAAACATTAAAGACCATCTATTTTTAGTAAAGACGACATATAAATTGAAACGAAGAGAGTAACTTATAAGTCAAAAGTTAAAAATCATGAGTAGAAGATGTATTATTTTTCACTTTTGACTTATTTTTAAACTTTTTGGCCAAAAAGTGAGTATTTAAAAACACATTTTAATCTTTCCAAACATCTCCAAAATTTAAGAAGTACTTAAAAGTCAAAAACACATAAAAATAAGCTAATTCAAATGGACACAAAAACCTTACTTGAGATTTTATTGTGCTTACTTGTACAATTGAGATTTGTTATTGTATAACTTACCTAAATCACATAGTATAAGACCCTAAATTACATTCTATCCCTACTCTTTTCTATTTTACAAAAATCCCTTAAAAACAGACATTCGGATACATAAGTTTCCTCCGAATACATTATATATGATACATCATAAACTTGTTTGTTGCGCTTAATATGGAATATTAATGTAAAATTGATTTTCTTTCCCACAAATCACGCATAACTGATTTTCTTTCCCACCAATCAGGCAGAACTGATTTTATTTTCCCACAAATCACACAAACGGATTGATATCATTCCATTCCAATTTGTAACAGCTTCACAAAATTCAAAAATCAAAATTTCATCTTCTCTATCAATTTGAAATCATGAATCTCAAATCCTCCATTGTAGATGATTGGACAAACGATTCACGATTTCAAATCATCAATTCAAAATAGTCGAGTAATTTGAATTCAATGTATCACGCAAAACTAATTGGACAACCTTGGCTACTGCTAACATTGCTAACAAGATCCCTTTGTCGACTAGTAAGTTTCTATTCCCTCTTTTCATCTTTCGTTATTAAATTTTAATTTGATTTCATAAAAGTTATTTCATTTCTTGTTCAGAGAAAATTGAAGAATTTGAGAAGAAAACAATAATGAAATCAAGAAACAAAAATGGGAAACAATCACCATTGATTGATATAACGAATGATTCCCCCATTGTTGGTCTTGCTATGGGAAATTTACAGACCCCATCTTCAAAAATATCCAAAAAATGATTACTTGTCAAGCTAAATACTTGGTTACTCCTGGATCTTGCGAGGATTTATTGAGGGGACAAGTTAAGACTTTGTTGCAAAAGGTTGAAGAAGACGCTTTATGTTGTCGTTTTGATGTGAACATGTAAGTCATAATACATTAGTGGTAAATGACGCATGTGTATACTAATTGTGTATCTATAGATTATGATGTGGTCATTATTTTGTATCTCGATGTGATTTGTATAAAAATGTATCAACATAATATATTGTATATGATACGTGTAATAAATGGATTAACAATTGAGATGAATCAAATATGTTTTGAATATCGAGTGTGTATTACAAATTTGTATAAATGTATGAGACTATTATTGTGTATATTGTACATATAAATAGTGTAACAATAAATATATGTAAATTACTTGTTTTGATCAAGAAAATTTGTGGATGATATATATATATATATATATATATATATATATATATATATATATATATATCAATCTTGGATTTTTGTAAATGATTGTATCTTTGGTTATTATAATGTACCTGGTACATGTTATAAGATGGT